TTTTAGATATATGAGAAGTATACTAAACTCAGTGTGTTCAAAAATAAATTTGTGAACCATAATGAATTTTAGTAGTGTATCTACGTTTACTCTTGCCAAAGTCAGAAACGGTGTCACTGTTTATGACACTTTGTACAATTACCTTACTGTATTCAGTCATTCACCAAGGCTTGTTGAGTTTATTTACTGAATTGCTCATTGCCACAATTCATACTAGAACATCATCATTTCTTACCTTATTATCATTTTCACACTAGGATATCATCACAGTAGCCTCCAAACTGGCCTCTCTACTTCTAGCTTATCTCCTGTTCATTTTGTAAAAATGATTCTGTAACTTTCCCTGTTTTAATGACTTCCCATAACTTTTATATGAAAGCTAAACCAGTAGTCAGTACACTTGTGCACAAGATAATCTGCTAGGGTACAGGAGGTAATTATTAGAAAGTCTATTTGTATTTACCATTTTTTTCCCTGAAAAACAGTAATACATTTATATTTAATAATTTGTACTGTTTACTAGTAGTCATCCCTTCTTTCATATGTTAGATGGCTACTTAATACTGAAGGTAACCTAAAGAAGTATTCTTTGTTCCCTTTCTGCATGTTACATGATACTGTAATTTGAATGTCTGTTTAATGGACATATGTATTATCTAGTTATTACTCTCAAATGGTTAAGTCAAACCAAGTATGTAACTGCAAAGATGTTGGTCATTCAGCTGGCAAGATACACAAAATCAGGCTGGGGATATAATTCAGTTGGTAGAGTGCTTGCCTCACATGTACAAGACCCTGGGTTCAATCCCTAGCACCTCAAAAAAAAAAAAAAAAAGATACACAAACTCAAATCTCTTCTCATAAATTAAAAAGAAAATATGCTGATTTTGAGATTTTAAGTGAAACTTTTTAATTCAGTCATATTTGTAATCCATGTCTTTTTAATGTGATAGCCAGTAAGATTCAGATATGCAAACTGATAGCTCTTTGAATCACTATCACAAAATGTTAAAATAAGATTTTCAGAAATGATGAAGATAAGATTGGGGATGTGGCTCAATAGTGGAATGATTGAGGCCTCTAGCATGCACGAGGCCCTGGGTTTGATGTCCAGCATCACATAACTTCAGGGAAAACAGAATGATGACAATATGTAGTCACTTTTTATGAGAACAAGTGTTTGTACCATAAACAATTAAAAGTTTAATTTTAGTTTTTCATCCCTTTATGTTCTATTTTTCATGATACAGATATTTATAAATTTTATATGATTATATTATAAATCCTATAAAACAACATACAAGTAAATATATATTGACATGGGTACATAATTAACAAATTTCGAGACCATTATTTTAAATTATTATATAAAATAACTTTCAGGTTTTCTGCTTACTTTTCTAGCCTCTTACCTCACCTCTTATGATTACATTTCATGCTTTAGTCATATTGGACTTTTTTGTATTTTAAAAGGGCTACATACTCTTTGCTTCAGATATTTGTGCATTCTTAGTCCTCCTTTAAGTCTTAAGTTTAAACATTTTCTAGAGTAGTGCTACTCAGATTGTGGCCCTTGAACTGTCTCTTACCTATCTTTGACCAGTTAAGTAAAGAATACTAGAATGAGCATTTAGAAACCTGAACTGCAGCCAGGCACAATGGAGCACACCTGCAATCCCAGTAACTAAGAAGGCTGATTGCAAGTTTGAGGCTAGCCTAAGTAACTTAGTAAGATTCTATCTTGAAATAAAAAGGACTGGGGATGTACAGAACAGACTGATTCAAGTGCCATGGTGAGTTGTGTGCTAGTCATGCTCAGCAACACTATCTTCACCATCTACAACATTTTTATGTTAGCCATTTATAACTCAGAAACGTATAAAAATTGAAGAAAATGTAAGCATTTATTATTTTTAAAATCATGCTATTAATCAGATTTATATTTTGGTCTACATATAATTAAAAAATATAATAATAAAAATAAGTAAAAATTATTTTCATTTTTTAAAGTTTCTGCTTTTATAAGTATTATCTAAATCTTAGAAATAAAACATTATTTTTAATTCTAATTTCCTGATAACAAAGCAAGCTTTACTGGTCTTTTTGGACCAAAAAAAGATAACATGTTTTCTGAATGTGACAGTAGTAATGAACTAAATGATGTCAGTGTGACAGTAGAAATTATTTTAGAGATATAAACCAAAGGAGTTTGCACTTGATTTTTTTTTTTTTTTGAGAAGCATTATCTCTCTTAATATGATTGAGATCAAGTTTTAGTTGTAATTGATGGAGAAGTGCTAACCATAGTGGATTATTTGAGGCTATGCTGGTTGCTGAGATAGTAAAACCACCAAAATTTAAGTGGCATGTATACATATGACATAAATATGTCTAAAACCAAATTCATTATTTTAAAAACTATTATTATTAAAAATTGATGAAAGCAGATGTTCAGGATTTCACATGTAAAGTAGTATTTTGTGAGCTTCAATAAAGTTTCACTTTAGATTGCCAACACTGAAAAAAAACTGCATATAAATAATAAAATAAAATGCTTGCTTGGAAATGTTGATTGAATCTGTAGCTGAGAAGGCTAACATAGCTTGATGCATTTAGGAAGATAGTTCTAACAAAAAATTCATTTGTCTTACCATTGACAAATAAGGAGTTTTGTTAAGATTTGTTGAATGCCTTGATTTTGTTAACATGACAATAATGTGAAGTAAGAATTTATTTTTCAGCTTCATTACTGGTAAACACAATCTGCACTAAAGTAGATAAAACTTTGAAGGGCTACAATATTAATGAATGTGGTTTGAAGTTTTGCTTTGCTTTTGTAGTAATACATTCTAATTATACAGAGGTAGTGACAAAAATTGTGCTGGAGATTGACCCATAATATAATCAGTGTCCTGCTTCTTTGCTTGAGAAAGTCTTGCTGTGTCAGTTGAATGTATGCTTGCCTTATCAGCTGAATTAACAGTAGTTTACTGTGAATTATTTAAACACAATGCATTAAATTTGAGATTCCTAAAAAATTAAATATTAACTTGTTAACATTTTAATTAAATCAGTATTAACTGTTAGATGTTAATAACATAATTAAATATTAACTGTTATATGTTGAAATATACGTTGGTTTACAAAGGGAAAATTTCAGTTGAGTATTTGAACTTTGAGATGAACTCTTAGTATTTTTGCAAGATAAGAAACCAGTTTGTGGGGGCTAGGGCTGTGGCTCAGCAGTAGCGCACTTGCCTAGCATGTGTGAGGCAATGGGTTCGATTCTCCGTACCATATAAATAAATAAATAAATAGATAGATAGATAAATGTCTGTCAACAAATAAAAAACATTAAAAAAAAAAAAACAGTTTGGTCCCCAGCTTTTTATATATGTGAAATAGATTTATTTAACTGATGGCTTCACTTAAAAAAACAAAAATCTCAGCCTTCTATGCAAGGCAGAAATGTCAAATGCTTTTTAATGGCAGACAGCATCAAAGGACAAAAAAAAGTTAGAAATTTAGGGGGATGTTTCTGTGCCTTGCTGTGATGGATTCTATAATATAGCAACAATCAGTAAAATAGGTAGTGATCTTGGTATTGCACATTTGAAAATATTATAATCAGATACACTACCAATTTGATATTTGATAAATAAAATTCCATAAAATGTTAAATAAATTTTCTCTTTTCCATAAAATTTTTTACAAATTTCATTTTCCATAAAAATAAAATATATGAGTAGGAAATTCATAAATCAGGAATCCTTTTTCATCAGAAGTTATTTTAGATTTCACTATAATTTTTCTGGATAAAGTATTACAGCTGGCTGCTAATGACAGATCAAGCACAAATGTTAAAGAGCAAATATTCTGCATTTTGGATAAAAGTTCTTAAAAATGAATATCCTGAGTTTGCTGAAATCTCTTTAAAATCTCTCCTATTCCTGTCAGCATACTCCCATGGTATTAGTTTGTTTGAGTGCTATTAAAACAAAATGTAGAGTTTATATACACGTTTATCTCTTGTGAGTAACACTGTCACTAGTCCAACCTAGATTAGATAAATTAATAAATGTTGTGGCTAGCCTTCAATGTAGCCCCCAGTGACCTACCTCTTTAATCCCCTTTCATACCAGGATTAATATGTGTGGCAGATGTGTTAGTGTGTCACTTCAGAGGTTGGATTATAACACTGCAGCTTCTGTCTTGGTTGTTTTGTCATTTTCCTCTCTGGATAATTTTTATATAGTAATAGATACAGCATACAAACAAGAAACAATTCATTTAGTTCATTCAAATTTTTAAATATTGATATATGCTATTAATTCAGTACATAAATTGGTGCTTAATTTGAAGAGTTGCTTTTCACTCATAACTTTTGGTTAAATTAGAGGTGTGGAATGATAAAAGTTACTAGTGTGAGAGTAGGTTTACATGCCTATATGTATACTGTCAATGAAAATTCTTATATGATCTTTTTTACTTTTATTTTCCAATATCATTTTAATTTAATTTTATTTTATGAAAATATTGGTCCATGAGCTATTGGGATTTTTAAAAGAAAAAAGGAAAGGAGAGTGGTTATTCACACAGATTATCTAGATCTTCTAAGATCTATTTGGTCATAGTTCTTGTGGTACTGTATGCTGGTGTTATTTTTAAATGGTCTTATTGCTACTATATTATAATTGAATGTATTCCCTGTTAACTGAAAGCTAGAATCCATGTCTGTTTTTGCTTTTAACATCGTCAATACCCAGAACAATGTCTAGTACACGGTAGATATTGGTTGAAAGATTAATGTTCCTTTTACATTTTTCTTATTGTGTTAGAATGATGATTAATTTTTGTAGTTGTAAGTATGCCATCTATTATAACCATTTATTTGTCCTTGGGGAATGTTCATTGCGTCAGCTGAATAGAAAATATTCTTAGCATTTTTCTTGTGGAGTACTAGGGACTTTTATCAGATATATGCTTTTATATTTCCATAGCACAACTACTGCCTCTGAAGATGATGTCTCAAGTAGATATACCCGAATAGACAGAAGTGGGTTCAGTAGGTATAACAGAGATGCAAATGTTGCGAGTAATTTGGTCTCAAATAGCACATTGGAAAAGAAAATTGAAGATCTTGAAAAGGTATGCTATATAAATTATTTAAGATTGATAAAATTAATACATCACCAGGATTTTTTTTTCTTCAGTTTCAGAGCAGCTGAGAGAGGAAATAAATTGAAATTTGCTGGGGAGAGATAGTGTCAAAAAAGAGTGGGGGAGAGGGTACTAATGGGAGACACTAATATTGATCCATATTTCCATGCTAGTCAAATAGCTTTTAGTCACTGTCTTATGTTTTAGTTCTTAGATACATAGTGACAGGGTATTTTCTGAACTTCCCTTAACACTTTTCTTTCCAATTTTGATGATGTTTAAAATTTAGGCCAAGCATGGTAGCACACTCCTGTAATCCCAGTGACTTGGGAGGCTGAGGGAAGAGCAACACAAGTTATTCAGTTGGTAGAGTGCTTGCCTTGCATGCACAAGGCACTGGGTTAAACATCCAGCACCACAAAAATAGATAGATGGATAGATAGCTCAGTGGCTCAATCCCCAGTACCAAAAAAAAAAAAAAAAAACCATTTGAGAATGGAGCAAATTCTTGTATCCCTAATATTTAATGGTCATTCCTATTTTGCTAAGTGTGTAAATCTCTAATATACTGAGCAGTCTTTATCTGAGCTGGCAATATGTTCTACTGTGTGTTTATTATATTATATTATCCAAACAGAATAATTGTCAGAAACTGGTAGAACCAGAAGTGAAATTAAGGACCATTGTTTTTCAGTTTAGAATTTTCAGTTGAAACCACTAAGTCATACCCCTAGTTTTGAAACTTTATACATTTAATAAAAAATTTTTTATCTCCTCAGTCAAGACTAATTTTTCATTTTAAAAAGTTCATAACTAACAGTAGTGATAAGTTAAATAAAGTCATTAAATCTTTCAATATTTGTCAAAGAATTGAGTAAAACATGGGTTTTATCAGAAACATTTGACAACTCCTATATTCTCTCCATTCCCTGATTATTTACTAGTGTGGGCCCTTCCTTCCCTTACTGAGTGTCTTAAGGAGTTCAATGGAAATCTTCATATATGTAAGATAACTTTACCAAACTTCGAAAATGTGTGTGTCCTTTTGCCTCTTTTTGAGATAGAATGTCCTTGTGTTGCTCAGTCTGCCCTCAAACTCATAGGCTCAAGTGATTCTCCTGCCTCAGTGTTCCAGGTAGCTGGGAGTACAGGCACAGACCATGTGCTTAGTACAAATTCTCTTTTTAGAGGAGCATGAAAAAATTAAAATTTACCTTTTCCTTGTTAATTTACAGATATTTTAAATTTTTTAAAATATCATGATTATAAATAATCTACTCTTTAAGAAATAAACGGCATTCTGACAATCTTGCACTCAGTGTCAGAATTTGGCTAAAAGGATCTAAGGATCTTTTCCAATGGTATTAGGCAATTTATCTATGTTTAGAATCTTTCACTGTTACCTATAGATGTATGCCATTTAAGATTATAAATAACCATTTACTTCCCAATTAATGCCATGTTATTATATCTACTAGGAAGTAGTAAGAGAAAGGCAAGAAAACCTAAGACTTGTGAGACTGATGCAAGATAAAGAGGAAATGATTGGAAAACTCAAAGAAGAAATTGATTTGTTAAATAGAGTAAGTATTTCACATACTTCAGTTCCCAGATTGCCCTTTTTTGGCAATTGGATGAAAATACATAAAGATGAAGAAATTCTTTAATTGCATTGCTGAGTTTGTTCTTTTGTTAATAAGATAGTAATTTATGGTGAGAACCAGTATTCATTTCATAAACTGATTTTCTCTGGGCAATTATCATTTAACTCACTTAATTTTATTTTTTGGTGGATGGACTGATAAAATATGTTTCTTTTGTGTTTCATTAAGAGTTTGGAGGTGAGAGGCAGCTTATATAAAAATGGATATTGGCACAGAATTGCATCAATAAAGAATTGCTATTTTATTATTAAGTAGAACTTCAGATATCTTTGTAGGTAACTTCACCAGTTTTTGTATCTAGTTGTATTTTATACATTTTCAACTTTAGGCTTAGGTTCCAAGCTCTGTATTATTCCTTTCTATAGCTCTATTTTTTTTTTTAACCTCCTACCCCAGCCCCCAAATTTACTTGCTCCTTAAGAAGCAGGCAGGTCAGACCTTTGTAATAGTGATGAGAAAAGATCCCATAATTTTGCTTTCTGCAGGAATTTAGATAAAAATGAAGGAAAGAAATGTTTGCTTCAAGGAGAAAAGGAGCAGACCCCCAATCCAGTCTTAACTACAGCCATGAAGGAAGAAAAGATAGCTCCATTATGTGCAGAATTGTTCTTATAGAGTTTGAAGGCAATAAGTACAGGTTATAGAAAAGGACAGTGATACTCCCAGTTGAACTTGCTGAAGGTCACATATAGTCATTGACTGAGCCAGTATTTGATTTTATATAGCCTTTCATCTTGGTTCAACACAGGTGTTCCTCTATTTGTGATGGAATTATATTCAAAAAATTCTGTAAATATTTTTAATGTTCGCGATGTATTTGCACTTTTAGGCATTGTGAGCATTAAAAAGAATAAAATCTCTTGTTTTAACATATTTCATGATTTACTTCTTAATTTTAGTTAGATCTCAGTTGTGGTAATTTTAGGAATCCCATATTTTTAGTTGTTGTTTGAACAGATTTATTTCCTAACCTCATTCAGTTTGTAAACAAAAGCAAATTCTGATTTTTGCAAGTTTTTAAATAATTTGCCTAATTATCTAAGACAGTGTACTAAATTTATAAGAATGTTGCTTGCTATCCTATAGCATACTTGTGATTCAAATTGTGTCAAGTTTTAGCATTATAAATAGGATAAATCTATAAATGTCTTCTTTTCTAACAATGGATATATAGTCTGCCTTGAAATATTGTTTGTAAACTAAACCTTATAGAGGATTGTTTTAGTATTAACTAGATGATTGTGTATTTGAGACTAGGATTAATATAGAGAACATAGAGCTGGATCATATACTTTAAAGCTGGAGAGTGAATGCCTGCTTTTAGTGGCTTCCAATTTTTTTCAGCTTTAAAACTTCTCCCTCAAACAAAATGACCATGAAGAAGCTCAACATATAAATTGAACCAGATCAATTGTGTGTATTCTAGATCCCCTCTTCTGATTGCCTCAGTTCTGTCATCTTCTTAGTGTCATTCCCAAATATACTCCTTTAAAGATTAGTGCCAGGCATGGTGGCATATACCCATAATCCCATCAATTTAGCACCTCTGGGTTCCATTCTTCCCCAGTTTTAGGAAAAAAAAAAAAAGTGGTAGGAGTATGTCTAGAACTTGAATGTGTATTCTTTGATGCCCAATTTGACACATAATTGTAACCTTGGACCCTATACCACCTGTAGCCTACGTATATATTTTGTTTAACCCTCAGTTTTGAAGAGGTGAATGGAATTTAATTTTAACCAAAAAAATTAAGTTATTTACTGTAATTAAATATTGGAAATTTTACTATTTTAAAACCCTGTCTTTGGCTTCCTTTAAAAAACTGAGTGATCTGGAAAGAACTGACCCATATACTTATGATAAAAATGAAGACTCAAGTAATGGATGCTCATTTTAGGTGGGACATAATCCACTAAAATTATTTCTAGAACCTTTCCTCATTTTAAAATTAACAATTAAATGAATTATCTTTGTGTACTTAAAAATGTTTTAAAATCTCCTTTCAAATATTTTTAAATATTTTAAAAGTATTATTTTTCTTTTTTTCTTCCCTTTTTAAGGACCTAGATGACATAGAAGATGAAAATGAACAACTAAAGCAGGAAAATAAAACTCTTTTGAAAGTTGTTGGGCAGTTGACAAGGTAGAAGATTCAAGGCCCAATATGGAAAAATATTTTAATAACTACTGATTGAATGTTACGATTAATGCTAGGACAATATTCCTATGCTTGCAATACATTAAAGTAACTATGTATATTTATTTCTAGAAAATGGATGTTTATTTTCAAAATATTTCTTTTTCATTATTAGTTTCAAAAAAGCATCAATCTTTTATTTCATAAATAACATCTTTCAGTTATTGAAATGATAGGTAATGTCTCTCTAGGTTTTGTGTGGTATTCAAATAATATATGGTTTTAAGTCACAGCCGTTTGAATATATTTTATCTGTTAGTACATTTTCTTCATAAAGGTATATCCATAGTCATTGTTTACATGAATTCAAATATTTGGGGGAATTACCTACAAATGCCTTATTTTGCTGTGTGCAGCCTTTTATATGTTGAAGACTTGGTCATTAAGGTCTTTGTCTACTGTCATTTGTTCTTTCCACTTATTCCAAATGATTTAGAGTAACAAGTAATAGTTGCAGTATTTTGTGTAACAGTAATCTTTTAAAGGAAAGCTGTTATAAAAAGTCACTTAATATCATGTCCTAGTTGGCTAAAATTCAGAGAATGCTTGAATTATGCTATAGTAAATGAGTTTACTATTTTGTCTTTGAATATTGAAAAATTTTTCAATTACTTCAGCTTCTTAAAAACACAGTTGTAATTTTAATCTGTAATTTCCTGTGTAAGTACTACTTTTTTTTTTGTCCCAAGTTTTATTAGTGAATATGGTATATTTAAAAAGATGTTTATTCATGAGGCCTCAAAAATGTGTTTAATTTCAATGTTTAAGAAGAAAATTCAGCATATTATCCATATGCATGAAAATCAGAAACAAAATATTTATCCACACTTAAGACATTTATACATATTTTAACAATATGTAAGCAGAAGTAGTACTAAAATACATTGCCTCATTTCTAAGTTGGAAAATCCTTTGACAGTGTTTCTCATGAGTCCATTCACCTATACCAGTTTTAAGGGCTTTTTCTTCCTAACACTGAAATTTTAAAAAAGTTATTTTTTTTTTTTTAAGAATTATAAACATGGTCTCTTCTATTAAATATTCTTAGGGTTGTTTTATATTACATTTTTATGTTGAGTAAGAGCTCACCTCCCTCCTTAACATACATTAAGGATGTCTGCCTGGTAGTGAATCTCAAGTAGCAGTAATGATGTCCTTTTATCCTGTCAATGTATGAAAGTGGCTTGAACAAAATCCATTTTGGTTACCCTTTTCTTTTTTTCCTTTACTTGCAAGCTCATGCATTTATTCACTGTTAGAAAAATAGGGAAGGTAAGATAGTGGGGAGAAAATGTGGAGTAATTATAAATATCAAATGTTAAATTCTGAAAATTTCTATGTTCACCCAAGTTATCTTTTCCCACTCTCCACTTGAGAAGTTTCAAGATTGGGTGATCATCAAACTCACTTGAGAAACTACAAAGAGTTCCCAAGTTTAGTTCCTGAATAGGTTTAAGTTGAGATCCTGGATTTAAGAATTTTTAAAGCCTATCATCTGATGATTCTGATTATAACTTAGTTTTGGAATCAGATACTATTGTGTTTGTGTCTTTGCTCCAGTAATTCCCAGTGAAGATCCTGAAACTGACAATTTCAGTTACCTGTATTTTCCTCTTTTTAGTTTATTTAATGATTAATCTGGTTCGGGGAGCAGTTTTTATGTCCATATAAATGTTTACTGCTCGATATTAGATTCCAAATTTGGTATAGTTCCAGAATTACTATTAAGCACTTCCTTCCTAGATTTTTACTTAGTATAGGAACAGTGATCTGCTTCCCACATGTCAAAGTAGTGTGCTAGGCCTAGTTACCATGTTGGTTGCGAGGTACTCATCTCTCTTTAGCCATCCTTAGGTATATGACAGAAATGTCCCCATTTCCTAATTCTTCTTTACCTTTTATATGTTGTGAAGATGTTGTTAGTATTCAACCTCAAAAATATATTGGTATATTGGTTTTTCAGTAAAAGAATTTCTTTGAATTTTCTACTTAATTCATTATGTAAATAAAGGAACAATTCATTTTACTTTTAAAAATTACATCAGTTACAGAAGTTTTAAAGACTGAGCTATTTTGAAATTTTCCCTTCTTTTAATGGGAACATTTCAATTTTTGCTTTTTTATCTTAATGATACCAAGGGCATATACAATAATTGCCTGACAATTTAGGCAAAGCATTTCACATGCAGTCCTTCCCCCACCTCCTTAGAATGTGTATGTATTTCACATACAAATTTTTACCCTATTGAAAAATGAATAGGATCTGCTCCAATTCCTCTTTGAAATTTATTTAAAATGTTGAGACTTTAAAAAGGTAACTTAAGTAATGTGTACTGCCCTAGAAAATTTCATATTTTTAGTAAAGTACAAGTAATTTATGAAATTTAGTCCTATTAGGAAATATTGTTTCTCATATTTCCTGGGAATTTGTGGCAAAATAAAGCACATCCAGAGTTCTAATGTATTTATGACATCATTTTCTAAAAGTTTATTATCTTTAAGATGAACATGACTTGCCTCCCTAATTCTTATATGGATTGCTTTAAAAATAACTACTAATCTTTATTTCATTTTCTAGAATTATTGATAATTTTATTGTAATGCAATTATCTTTAGAAAGGAAGGGGAAGGATTTGTGATGTTTTTTTTATCTGAGAGATTTACTAAATAATAGATTATAGCACTGTTACACTTATTCAAGTAGTTTAAAATGTAGAAAAATAAGTATTGGGGCAAGCACATGAAGCAGTGTAGTTATTTTTTTCTTAATAAATTAAAAAAATGTTAAATTGTGATAGAAGCACAATGTGTTCTTAAGGTGAAAAACCTACCTCAGTTATATTTGGTTTATGTTTTCTGGAATAATCTGGATTTTTATAATTAGAAATTAAATGTACATTTTTGAGTCCACGTTTACTTTGTTGAAAATAGTACAGGTCCATGTAGTAGAAGTATCCATATGCTCAATACCATAAGACGAAACAATGAAGACCTTGGATTTGATATTGGTCTGATGTCCTAAACAACCTTTTTGTTGTTTTTGGTTTGTAGTTTTATGAATTTGAGTAACTAGTAAGTTCCAAGTAGTGTTGGTACTTACCTTTAATAACTAATCATGATATTGTTAACTTGTTCCAAGATTTAGGTGTATATTTTCATTCTTGCAGTATATGAAACCAAGGACATCAGTTTTTCATTAGAGGGAATATGTTAAATGAGAAAGAATCAGCATTCAAGATTCAGACCTTTAAAATAAGAAGTTCAGATTTGTGTGAAATGTTTTCATTGTATTTGTACCAGTCCTAATATGTAACAGCAAAGCTTGAGTCCTTTTGCATTGGAAGTATGCTTTCATAAGTAAAGGACATCCCATTAATGAGAATTTTAACTTACACTAGTGAGACACTTTTCTTTTGTTCATTAAACTGAAAGCATAATATTAATAGCAAATTTGCTAAATAAGCACAATGACAGAGGCACCTTCCTCTAAGCTATTCAGATTTTCCTTGATGTATATAAGTTGAAATCATATCCTCTCCTTATCCCCACACAATAATTATGTGTGAGTTTGTAAAAGTATGTATGTGGGTGTTGTATTGCATTTTCATACCTATTTCAGCAAGTATTTATTAGTCACCTGAGTGTACTGTTACAGGTGTTAAAGAATTTTTAAATCAGTGGACATGGACCAACTCTTCTGTTTAGCAATGTACAATCTATATAGTGTGTTTCAGTAGCATAAAACATACATAGTCTTATGCAACATTAGCATGTCTGATCTGAATAGTTCATTCAAAAATATTTTGAATTAATTATCCAGAAATTGTCTTTTAGATGTAGTTACTGTAGGTACTGTTTAATTTGCTGCAACATTTACTGAAGAGTGGAGAGAAAGAACTGATGCATAATAAGAAGTATCTTAGCATTTTTTTAAGATAATTGTACTTTAAGAAAAGAACATTATTAAGGAATTTAAAGCAGTAGCGAAGTGAAAAGAATTCAGTGTATATCAGATACACCAAACTGTTGATAATATTCAAATGTGATTTCAAGTTAGTATTTCCATATATATTATTGATTAATGGTATATTTTTAAGTATGGAAATTGTCTTTAATCTATAGTTCACATACTGGCAGTCACTTTGATAATAATAAAATGTTAGTGATGATCACTTGGTGGACATTAAGTACTTGTCTTTTGTTTTCTCCTCTGGACACCTAATTAGATATATGACTTTTTTGGTGAACTTGTTTTTTAAAAGATTTGGCTGTGCTATGCAGGGTATCTTCCTTCATGTTGTTTTTCCTAAATTTAAGAAGTAGCTGTTGGTACCAGCAAAGACCATGTGAAAACAAAAACTATATTTTGTTGAAAAACCAGGTAATTCAGATAACCCAAATATTGGTGGGAAAAATCCAGATAATTTATTGAACATATTAGTATTGTTTAGACCTTTTTTGATCATTCCTATTGCATATGTTTTCATTGTGGAATAGTCAAGTTAATATAGATTCACTTTTAATATGCTTTGCATGTGAAAAATAATAAATATTCAATAAAAAAGTAAGTTTTCATTTATTTTTTCAATGCTGGTTGTTTTTTGTCTGTTTTTGTTTTTCTCCTTCCTGTTCTATTAGTGAACTCCTCTCCATAAGTCTTATTTTTTAAGTTAATGGATAATGATAATCTAATTGGCTTTGTAAATCATACAGAAACAGTATGCAGCATTATAAGAATATTTACTTGATGTATTATTTTAGAAGAAGTAATATTTTAAGAAAAGAATACAGTGTTAAGATCTAAATACATTAATAATGGGCTTCTTGAGAAATGCACATATGTGTTCGCTGTGGAAGTTTTAACTGTGTTTTTAAAGTACATGATTTTTTAATTCAAAATTGGAACTATAAATGAAATCTAATGCTGTTCAAAGAATTTCAGACCTCTCT